AATGACCTAATTTCCCCATCCACACATTAAAATCTTTCCTGATGTGCTATTGGAAGGCATCCTGCTGGTAGTATACCAATGATCACTGTTGCTGGCTATAGCTGGTGGCATTGATTTTTTTGGGAAAAACAACCAACTTGTCCATACATGGATCAAAATTCAGCCAGTCCCTGCTAAGCAGAGTTGTGTGTTTGATGTCCTTTGATATGAAATTTTTGATGGGGATTTTTTAGGGTGAGCAATGAGTTGTGAGAGATGTCACAATAAACACTGCTAAAGATGCCTGCTAGACAAAAATGTATGTATTATGCTGTCATAAGCACTTTTATTTATATCTTTATATAAAAATATAGCAATACATTTTGTAGTACTGAACCGTTAGGTTCACCCTTAAGATTAAGCATCTTCAAACATTTTCAGAGCATTTTTAATGTGCATTTGTATACGTGCTTTTCATTCTTGAGCTTTTTTGTTTTTTGGGGGTAGGGTGGGATAGAGTTTCCCCTGCTAAGCTCTATGGTTACTCTTGCCAGATGTTATATTATAACAAAACATGTTATAAATTGAGATTTTACGAGAATTAATGGCTGGTGGAAGGAACCACTATGAACACGCTATCCAATGCACCTGGAAGTGTCAGCAACTACACTTTTTGCATTTAAAGAGAGTGATGATTTCATGTATCACAAGCTGGAAAGGGTGGCTCCATTTTATTTTTTATTTTAATTCTGTCATGGTCATATGTCATCCTAAAGTGGTTGTAAAGGCTTAAGGTTTCTTACCTCAATGCATTCTCTACATTAAATTAAAAAACCTTCCATGGTCAGCTCCTCCTCAATCTCAATCCAGCACTGTGCCAGAGAGCACTGGTGCTGCTCTCTTTCTCTCTCTCTTTCTCACAGGACATGGAGGCAGCAATGAGAGCCATTGGCTCCTGCTGCTGTCAGTCAAATCCTGTGAGGGGGAAGTGGGGGCATGGCCGAGCTGAGCTGTGTGTGTCAACAGACGCACGTAGCCCAGCTCAGGACAAGAGGTACATATGACATATTTGTAATTTTAACCACTTGCTCTCTGGAAGATTTACCCCCCTTCCTGACCAGGCTATTTTTTACTATTCGGCACTACGTTATTTCATCTAATAATTGCGCTGTCATACAATGCTGTACCCAAACAAAATTTATATCCTTTTTTCACACAAATAGAGATTTCTTTTGGTGGTATTTGATCACCACTGGGTTTTTTATTTCTTGCGTTATAAATAAAAAAAGACCAACAATTTTGAAAAAATTACAGTAGATCACAAAGTAAATACAGTAGCTGGTTATTGGCAGCACTTTCCTCATGCTGTCACAGCGTGAGGAAAGTACTGCCGATAACCGGCAAATGTGATTATCAGTGCCACATAGCAGTGCCGAGCAGTGTCACTCATCAGTGCCCAGCAGTGCCATCCATCAGTGCAAAGCAGTGTCACCCATCAGTGCCCAGGAGTGTCACCCAACAGTGCTGCCTATCAGTGCCCATCAGTGCCACCAGTCAGTGCCTCCAGTCAGTGCTATCAGTCTGTGCCACCAGTCAGTGCCACCAGTCAGCACCCATCAGTGCCGCCTATCTGTGCCCATCAGTACCACCTATCAGTGTCCGTCAGTGCCGCCTGTCAGTGCATCATCAATACCTCCTTATCAATGCCCACCAGTGCCACCTCATCAGTGCCGCCTCATCAGTGCCCATCAGTGCTACCTATCAGTGCTGCCTCATCAGTGCCCATCAGTGCTGCCTATCAGTGCCCTTCAGTGCTGCCTATCAGTGGAGCTTCATGAATGCACATCAGTGAAGGAGAAAATTACCTGTTTGCAAAATTTCATAATAGAAACAAAGAAAAACTTTTTTTTTGCTCTTTTTTGTTTATAGTGTAAAAAATAAAAACCCCAGTGGAGAGTAAATACAGCAAAAAGAAAGCGCTATTTGTGTGGAAAAATTATAAATATTTCATATGGGTACAGTGCATGACCACGCAATTGTCATTCAAAGTGTGACAGCACTGAAAGCTGAAAATTGGCCTGGGCAGGGAGAGGGGAAAACGTGCCTGGTAGGCAAGTGGTTAATTGGTTTATGTGAAAGTTATACCATCTACAAACTATGGTATAGATACTGGAATTTAAGCTATTTTTTTCTGTGCGACACTGTGCTAGTTTAACTGGCAATTGCAATGCTGTATATAAATGAAAATTATGTAATTGTTTCCCACAAATAGAGCTTTCTTTTGGTGGTATTTGATCACCTCTGGGTTTTTTTATTTTTGCGCTATAAACAAAAAAATTTAACATTTTGAAAAAAAAAAGATATTATCTAATTTCTGTTATTATAAATATCCAATAAACTCAAATTTCATCATAAATTTTGGCCAAAATGTATTTTGCTTCATGACTTTGGTAAAAAAAAAATCTTCTATTGACTCATCATGCCTCTCAGCAAATAGTTTGGGGTATCTACGTTCCAAAAAGGGGTCATTTGAGATGAGGGGTGGTTTGTTATCTTGGCATTTTATGCCCAGCATTAGAAGCTTATGCCACACATCACTCACTCTTCTAACCACTTAGAAAAATCTGTATTTTTTGCTAGAAAATTACTTTGTACACCCAAATATATATTTTTTTAAAGCAGTTGCCTTAGAGAATAAAATGGTTGGTGTTGCAATTTTTTATGTCACATAGTACTTGCGCAGCAATTTTCAAATGCAGATTTTTTTAAAAAAATACACTTTTTTGAATGCACAAGAACAAAATATATTGGCCAATTGTTTGGTAAAATATAAAATATGATGGTATGCCAAGTAAATATATACCAAACAAGACATGCTTTAAAACTGCGCATGCCCCGTGCAACGGCGACAAACTACATACATTTTTAATATCCATAGGAAATGTTTTACAAGCCTTTACAAGCTACCATTTTAGATTTACACAGGAGATCTAGTGCAAGAATTACTGCCTTTGATCTGATGTTTGTGTCGATACCTCACATGCATGGTGCAACTGCTGTTTACATACCGACACAGGGCCGACACAAGCTTACAACGTTTTTTTTCATTTATTTTTATTTTTTTTATTTTTACACTGTCCCTTTCACTTTTTTTAAAATCACTTTTATTGTTATCACAGGGAATGTAAATATCCCCTGTGGTAGCAATAGGCAGTGACAGGTATTCTTTTCTGAGAAATCTGGGGATTTCTCAGACTCTAGATATCTCCTCTGCCCTTAAATCATCTGATCTCACCAAGATTGGTGTGATCAGATGCTTTCCCAATTTACAAATGGTGCTGTTTATATCCTGCGAAACTGAAGTGATTAAATGCTTGTAGACTTCAATTTCTTAGACTATAGAGATGATTGGTGCCATTCTGGCTTCCAAACAGCTCTATGGCCAGCTGGCGGTAAAACCGGCTGCATTCTCATGTTCCCCAATGGCACGGGACTGCCTGAGAAAGTTATGGAAGGCAGCGAAGGGGGGGGGGGGGGGGGGGGTTTCTCCTCCCGCTGCTTGTAAAAGCAAACATGTAGGTAAATTAGCCACTAGGATTGCTTTCACATGAAAAACGATCAACAATACCAGGATCCTGGTATAACCACTCAGAGTCCAGTGATGTACCAGTACATCACTGGTTCTTGTTGGGTATACTGTATATGCTATGCTCTTTTTTTTTAATACAGTCTGTTGGCTGAATGAGAAAAAGATAAGAAATCTCTGCCAGAAAAAGTGTGTGGCATGAAAATATACAGCCCTGCATCCACACACTTCTATGTTGGGCATACATGAAATATTCTTTTTTTTTTTTTGTTCAGCCTACCGAAACCTAATAAATTTCTCTATTCATATTGATCGATGTGGATGAAGAAATCTCTGCCAAAAATATTTTTTTTAAAAATATATGCACTGACCACCCCAGGCCACCATGCTTGGGCATATATGTTCTTTTTTAACTGCGGATAAAACAATAAAACAACTTTTTTATTGAAATCTGTCCCAAAAAATAATATTCAATATATATGATGAAGCATAGGAGTAATACACCCACTGGCCACCTCAGGCCCCCATGCTTGGGAATATTTGTTCTTTTTTTAACTGCGGATGAAAAATCTCATCAACAGCACTGCACACACTGATGTATATTCTGAAAGCAGAACCCTGTTGCTATCAGAATAAACAGATCTGTGCTGCAGCTGAATGGCATTCCTACAAAATAAGACAGCAATGGTTACCAATAAAACAGTGACAATAAAACAGTAACTCAATAAACTATTTTTTTTTAGGTTATCTCAAAATGCGATAGCCAGTTTCCTGACTACCTAACATCATTCTAGGTGCTGTGTATATATATATATGCCCTAGACCAGTGATGGCGAACCCGTGGCACGCGTGCCACAGCCGGCACGCCGAGCCTTATCTGTGGGCACGCCAGGAGAATACCGTATTTTTCGCTCCATAAGACGCACTTTTTTCCCCCCAAAAAAGGGGGGAAAATGTCAGTGCGTCTTATGGATCGAATATAGAGCGGCCGGTCCGGTATTTCCACCTTCGCCGTGTCAGAATACCGGGCCGGCCCGCTCAGCTCTGCAGTGGGACCTTACCTGTCCCTCTGTCTTCCCGGCTTCTGTAGTGTGCGTGACAGCCGGGTCCCAAGTGCGCAAATGCGCAAGAAGCAGTGCTGTTTGTGAATGGTAAGGCGGTACCTGGGACACATGACAGATCCCAGAAGCCGCCGGACCAATCACAAAGCGCAGCGCTTCTCGCGCATGCGCACTGGGCATCCGGCTGTCCGACGAGCGCCCACACTACAGAAGCCGGGAAGACAGCGCGCGGCTGGATAAAGGAACAGGTAAGATAAAAGAAAAACTCTGCGGAAGTAAGAGCGGGTACCTGTCAAATTCAGGTACCCGCTCCCCCTCCCTCCTCAAAGGTCAGCAGTCATCTGTACTGTCCGCAGTCTCTGGTCATCTCTGTACTGTCCGCAGTCTCTGGTCATCTCTGTGCTTTCCGCAGTCTCTGGTCATCCCTGTACTGTCCACAGTCTCTGGTCATACCCTGTACTGTGTCTGCAGTCTCTGGTCATCCTGTACTGTGTCCGCAGTCTCTGGTCATACCCTGTACTGTGTCCGCAGTCTCTGGTCATCCCTGTACTGTGTCCACAGTCTCTGGTCATCTCCTGTACTGTGTCCGCAGTCTCTGGTCATCTCCTGTACTGTGTCCGCAGTCTCCGGTCATCCCTGTACTGTCCGCAGTCTCTGGTCATCTCCTGTACTGTGGTCCGCTGTCTCTGGTCATCCCTGTACTGTGTCCGCAGTCTCTGGTCATCCCTGTACTGTGTCCGCAGTCTCTGGTCATCCCTGTACTGTGTCCGCAGTCTCTGGTCATCCCTGTACTGTGTCCGCAGTCTCTGGTCATACCCTGTACTGTCCGCAGTCTCTGGTCATCCCTGTACTGTCCGTAGTCTCTGGTCATCCCTGTACTGTGTCCGCAGTCTCTGGTCATCCCTGTGCTGTCCGCAGTCTCTGGTCATCCCTGTACTGTGTCTGCAGTCTCTGGTCATCCCTGTACTGTGTCTGCAGTCTCTGGTCATCCCTGTACTGTGTCCGCAGTCTCTGGTCATCCCTGTACTGTCCGCAGTCTCTGGTCATCCCTGTACTGTTAATTAGTTTGCACTACTGTACGAGTTGTTTTTTCTAAACCAAAAGCTTGATGTTCAGGTTTCATTGCAGTGTTGGCACTTTGAAAGAAATAAGTTGGTTTTGGGTTGCAGTTTGGGCACTTGGGCTCAAAAAGGTTCGCCATCACTGCCCTAGACTGTGCCTTGCTGCACCCTATACTAATAGTACACTAGTGTGTGGTAACGATGGAAGCAGTAATTGAGGCAGAGACCAAGTTGGCCAGGAGAGGAGCATAAAAAAAAAAAGCAGGTGCCTAATTCTGCTACAGACACAACATTTTTTTGGGGGTGACTTTTAGGTTGGGGTACCAGAAATGGCATCAGGAAAATGCCTCTCATGCAGCTGGCTCACTGCATCTGGGATGGGGGTTTGGGCCACAGCACCTTCTGGATACAAAAGAGCCATGATGATCTCTTCCTGGAATTTTAGGAAGGATCCATTACATCCAGTTGCTTTGTAAAGCACAAAAGAGTTGTACAGAGCTAACTGAAAAAAATAAACACACTTTTTTTGTACCAGCTTTACAGGAAACTTAAGTACAGCTTCACCATCTGGTCATTAAAGTCCACCCCTTCCATGTTAAGGTTATAGTTGTGGACATAGTGGAGCTTCTGAACAACACCAGTTGTCATGGAAATTTGGATGTTCGTGCCTGCGTGAAAGTAAGGCAGGATGAAAAAAACCCTGTTTGTCCTTGCACTTTACTGCAAGCAATTCATAATTTTTCAAGCAGGCTTTCTCCGCCTTTCGGGTATTTACAAGCTGCTGGGGGAAGCCCCGGCGATTAGGTCACACGGTGCCACATGGGCCAATTCCAAGACTGTGCAAATGTCTAATTAGTGGCCTGCTTGTATAAAAATTGTCCACGTATAAGTGGTGCCCCATATGGAAAAAGGATGACACCAAGTCCCAAACTATCTTGCCACTGCTCCCCATGTAATCTGGGCAGTAACAAATATATATGTATACATGAAGATATTACAACCATCCATACACAATATTACAACCATCTATATGGTAATTACGTCTTGCCCAGGGCTGCTGCTTTTCTTGAAATGACCAACTGTGTTATGGGCCACAAGGAGCTAGATTCAACCTCCATAATGCTACTATATGACTTACTAATATTTATATTGGCCAACTGTGGATTTAAAGTTTGGCGGCAGGGTTTAGGGGGTAAGTGAAGGTGAGGAAACCCCTCCCCCTTTTTGTGTGTGTTTTTTCTGAGGGAGGGTTAAAAAATATTATATACACCCCATATAGTATATATAGCGGCTCTAATATCCACAAAACGAATGAATCAAAAGTGCTATGTGCTTATATATAAATAAAAATATAAGAATTAATGGTGTATCATGATTGAAATTTGTGAAAACAAATTAATTAATTTTAAACGTAATTAATTAAATAAAATAATGCTTATCATATTATTACATCACAAAATGTACAATCCTTATGACAGTGTGCAAATTTTCCCTCAGTGAAAAACATGTAATTTGATAAATGAAATTAAAAAGTGGATGAGAAGTGATAAATAAAAAAATATATAAGAAATAATAAAAAATGTTAAATAAATAAATAATAATCAAAAAGTCTCTGGATAAACGACAATTATATCCCACTGTGCAAAATGAATGTCCAGTTGGATGGATATACTCTCCTTCTATATGAAGATCTGATCTTTGCTGTGGTGTTGAGAACCTGTGTGGCTGCAGGACTGTGAGGGATACTCCCTTCTTTGATCCACTCCTTAGTCCTCTGCCTTTGTATTCCTCGTGTATAACATGTAAGAAAAGGAATAAAAGATATGGTGCCTTATCCCAGGGGTAAAAACAGCCTTTTATTGTGCTTCTCTATTGCACTCACATTTTAAAAATATCAAAAGCGCTTTGTATAAATATAAAATCTCCCGCAGCTTGTAGCTGAATCAAACGAGCGGTGTGTGTCAACACACCCGCAGTACTCGCCATATCGTTGGTAGATTGCACAATGAGCAAACTGATAATGCTATACAAATCCTGTATAATAATTAATATATATATATATATTTTATTTGTTACTGTGAAGCTATGTATATTTTTTTGTGGACGATCCGCACAAAGCTTTTGAAGAAGCAGATGTGGACTGCAAAATGCGTTTTAGGCCCCAAAAAACTTTAAATTCAGAAACCGAATAGGTTTCCATGCAAATGGTCTGGTAAGGTTTGAATTTGGGTTGGTGGGGATAAATTGTTGTGCGTATAAATTACTTTGATCCACAATCAATGCATACAGATCTTCTGTGAAAAAACAGCTAAAAAAAATCAAGGGGAATAGTTAAATTTGCTGTTTCCACCTGAGTTCCGGGTTGGGCAGTGAATGGGGGAAGTATGGGTGCTGCAGAATTTGTGGGCTGCCAATTAGGATTTGTAAGCACATCCAGAAGTACACTATGGGCTCTACGAGTATATGTTTGAGTTCTTGGTAGCTGCGGGACACTACTTGTGCTCACCACCGCACCAGCTGTACAGCACTTATGAGACTTGCCAAGCCACCAAGTGATACTGCAGTGCTGGTATATAAAAGAACAGGATGTACTAGGCCGCTGGTGCTCGACAGTTCACCAAAATGTAGAGTGGCACTAGTACTGCCACTCTGCTGCATATGAGAATCATCATTCAATTGTAACACCTCAGCAATCTGGGAATGGGGTTGGGTATGTCTGACCTTAGCAGGGACCTCTACTCCATCATCTGAGCTATCTGTCAGGGTGCCGCTGCTCTCTACAGGTTGATATTCTGAGCCTGATTCTGTCTGTGAGGCTTGCCCTTCGCTCTGATCTGACAAAGTCAGAATCCTCTAGGCTTCTTTATTAGAGTGCCTTTTGTTGGATATTTTGCAAACTAAATTTATAGGTACCTACTGTGACTTACAGGAAAAATAGCGCCTGGCTGTCAGGGACTTCTTGAACAGGTCCAAAAAAATGTACCTTTTGCCTGCTAGTGCTAGCAGAGATCAGGCCTGATCTTGCCAACCCTGTAGTTTTGTGTGCAATGTATCAAGCGACTGCGATCTACTGGCAATGCACTTGCTAAGGGAGAAGGGGGAGGGGTTAAGTGTAGGGGCTAAATGCAGGTGTTGGCAGGTATCGGGGCTGATCCTGCTAATGCTGCGTTTTTAGGGACACTGTACTATCATGAACACTGGTATAGTTATTATCTGATCAGTGATATTGAGCCGTTCAGACTCTATACTAGCAATGGAGGTTTATTGTGTATGTGAGTGTGTTCCTGGCAATCAAAGGGTTCAATTTGATGACTGATGTAGTGGCGGGCAATCTGATGCTATCTGGGAGGGCCGCTAATGCTATCTGAAGTCACCTGTGACACTAATACATTGATCAGTAAAAAAAATATGTACACTGTATTAATGACACTGGTAACAGAGCAGTGAAGGGGTTAACTGGGGGGGGGGGGGTGATCAAGGGGTTAAATGTGACCTAGTTGTGCTTTTACTGCGTGTGTGTAGTGCTTTGACTCACATGGATCTGCTATCTTCTCTCTCTGGAACGGAATGTGCTCCAGGGAGAGAAGATTGCATAGTTTTCTGTGCCTTGTAAATGTAAACACAAGCACAGGCTGAACTCTGATTGGGTACAGCTGATCTGCAGGTCCAGGCCAAACAGCATTGGCCTGAACCTGCTGAGTGATCAGTGCTGTACCAAATCACAGCACCGCGGGGCCGGCTGGTGTGCGCATGCAACCCCCTCCCCATGAACATGCGGATCTCGTTTATATATGTGATTTTGTGCAGGGAGTCTGCTCTGTATCAGTAAAACTGCTATAGGGCAGATGAGAGCAGGTTAAAAAAAATATATAACTTTACTATCACTTAAGGTTTACCTCAGTTCTTTAACGATATACTTCTTTTTTCAACCTAAGTAACTAAAACATATACACTGCTCAAAAAAATTTAAGGAACACTTTTTAATCAGAATATAGAATCAAGTAAATTACACTCCTGGGATATTGGTCAGTTAAGTAGTAGAGGAGGTTGTTAATCAGTTTCAGCTGCTTTGGTGTTAATTAAATTAATAACAGGTGCACTAGATAGGCAACAATGGGATGACCCCCAAAACAGGAATGGTTTTGCAGGTGGAGGCCACTGATATTTTTTTCTCTACTAACTCATCTTTTCTGACAGTTTTTCACTAGTTTTTCATTTGGCTAGTGTCAGTGTCACTGCTGGTAGCATGAGGCAATACTTGGATCCCACAGAGGTTGCACAGGCAGTCCAGCTCCTCCAGGATGGCATATCAATACATGCCATTGCCAGAAGGTTTGCTGTGTCTCCCAGCACAGTCTCAAGAGCATGGAGGAGATTCCAGGAGACAGGCAGCTACTCTAGGAGAGCTGGACAGGGCCATAGAAGGTCATTAGCCCATCAGCAGGACCAGTATCTGTTCCTTTGTGCAAGGAAGAGCAGGATGAGCACTGCCAGAGCCCTACAAAATTATCCCCAGCAGGCCACTGGTGTTAATGTCTCTGACCAAACAATCAGAAACAGACTTCATGAAGGTGGTCTGAGGGCCCAACATCCTCTAGTGAGACCTGTGCTCACTAACTGGCACGATAGAGCTCGATTTGCATTTGCCATTGAACACCAGAATTTGCAGGTACACCACTAGCGCCCTGTGCTTTTCACAGATGAGAGCAAGTTCACCCTGAGCACGTGTGTTAGTCGTGAAAGGGTCTGGAGAAGCCATGGAGAACGTTATGCTTCCTGTAACATTGTTCAGCATGACCGTTTTGGTGGTGGGTCAGTGATGGTCTGGGGAGGCATATCCATGGAGGGACGCACAGACCTCTACAGGCTAGACAATGGCACCCTGACAGCCATTATGTATAGGGATGAAATTCTTGGACCTATTGTCAGACCCTACGCTGGTGCAGTGGATCCTGGGTTCCTCCTGGTGCACGACAATGCCCGGCATTATGTGGTAAGTGTATGCAGGCAGTTCCTGGAGGATGAAGGAATTGATACCATTGAATGGCCCCCATGCTCGCCTGACCTAAATCCAATGGAACACCTCTGGGATATCATGTTTCCGTCCATCCAACGCCGCCAGGTTGCACCTCAGGCTTTCCAGGAGCTCAGTGATGCCCTGGTCCAGATCGGGGAGGAAATATTCCAGGACACCATCTGTTGTCTCATTAGTAGCATGTCCCAACCTTGTCAGGCATGCATACAAACTACTAAGTACCATTTTGAGCTGCTGCAATGAAATTTCAGCAAAATGGACTAGCCTGCTGCATCATTTTCTCACTTTGATTTTTGGGGTGTCTGTAATATCAGTCCTCTGTAGGTTGATCATTTTTATTTCCATCAAACAATGGGGCATCCTCAAGTTCCTATCACATTACCCAGTCCATATCAGTATACTGTAGATATACAGCACGATATTTTTCGCCGTTGAGATCTGATGTGTTTTCAAAGTTTAATTTTTTCAAGATATACTCAAGATATAATCAAGTGAGTTTATTACTAACTTATTACTGTGCAGCAATTAGTGTAAAGTCAGGGAGGGGAAGATTATTCTTAATTAACTGTAATATCCTGCAGAGAATGGGAAGAGATATCCTTACTCATTCACAGTGGTGAGAAACCTCTACAGCAACATGATATGAATGGATCTTGTAAAAGTCTGCCTACTGCATGGGCTCATCATTGCTTATGTAACTTTTTATGTGATGACAGCCCTTCTTTGAGGACTACCAGCTTGTCAGCCAAGCTTATAGATTGGTAGCCACATCAAGTTATAAGTTTTTGTGTGGGAACGTTTGCTATTAAGTAATGTTGCAAGTTCATATGTTAATAAGCAGGAGGTTGATGCTTTAAGAGGAAGATAAAGCAAAAAGGACAGTCCCTTTCCTTACATTATATTCACACCGCTGCACTGGAACTGCACTGCATTAAAGTGGTTGTAAAGGCTCAAGGTTTTTTACCTTCATGCATTCTATGTGTAGCAGTGCCCCAGCCCCTCTCATACTTACCTGAGCCCCATGTCGATCCTGTGATGAGAGCATAAGAGCCTTGGCTTTTCCTCTTCATTGGCTGAGACAACAGGAGCAGCCATTGGCTCTTGCTACTGTCAATCACAGCCAGTGAGCCAATGAGAAGAGAGCAGGACCCACAGAGCAGCCTGCTCGGGTGTCCCATAGCAAGAAGCTTGCTATGGGGTACTTGGCAGGAGGGAGACCCGGCAGGGGACCCGGGAAGAGGAGGACCGGGGCTGCTCTGTACAAAATCATTGCACAGAGCATGTAAGTATAAACATGTTTGTAATTAAAAAAAAAAAAAAAACTACTTTTACAATCACTGTAAATATGCAAGGGGGTGAATGTTGTCTAAAAGTTGGTATCGGCCTAAGGGGCATTGGACCCTGACAGATCTTGAAGGCACACACAAGATAGGTATTGGGAATTTATATAATTCATACCTTACTCCCCTGGGAAAAAAGTTTAAAGCCCAGAGACTTAAATGAGTAGAGATCCCTTACCCACTCACTGAACGCAATACAAATTAAAGAGCAGATACCTTAAATATGAGCTTATGTTATAGTACTCTTTATTTTCATTTAAAAATATCAGCATCTCCTATTTCTTACATTTAATAAAAAAAGAGCAAAGAAAAAACAATGTATACCGCTTTGGTATGCATACTTTTAAATTAATTAAGCATTTGATTATTTTGTATTCTTGTATGCATCCAACAAGTTAAGCTATCTCATCTAGTTTATGTTTTCAGGGACACTGTATTTCCAGCTTTCAGTGCTGTCACACTTTGAATGACAATTGCGCGGTCATGCAACACTGTACCCATATGACATTTTTATAATTTTTTTGAGACAGATAGAGCTTTCTTTTTTTGTGGTATTTAATCACCTCTGGGATTTTTATTTTTTCTTAAACAAACCATAAACCACTGAAAATGTTGAAAAAAAATTTTTTTTTTCTTAGTTTTTGTTATACAATTTAGTAAATAAGTGATTTTTCTCATTCACTGATGTGTGCTAATGAGGCTGCAGTGATGGGCACTGATAGGCTGCACTGATGGACACTGATGGCACTGATGAGGAGGCATTGGTAGGTTGCACTGATGGGCATTGACATGCATCACTGATGGGCACTGAAAGGCAGCACTGATAGGCAGCACTGACTGGCACTGATAGGTGGCACTGACTGGCACTGTTAGGCAGCACTGACTGGCACTGATGCGCACTGATAGGTGACACTGACTGGCACTGATAGGTGGCACTGATTGGCAGCACTGATAGGTGGCACTGTTTGGCATTGATAGGTGACACTGACTGGCACTGATGGGTGACATTGAAAGGCAGCTCAGATGGGCATTGATATGTGGCATTGATGTGCATTGGTATGCACTGATATGTGGCATTGATGTGGCACTGATGGGCACTGGCAGGTGGCACTGATGAGCACTGACTGCTGGCACTGATGGACACTGACAGGTGGCACTTCTGGGGCCACACTGATCATCAGGGCACACTGATCATCAGTGCCCTGATGATCAGTGTACATGTCCCCTCCGCGGAAAGCCGATTACCGGCTCTCCTCTCCTCTCGAGCTGTCAGCGTGACAGCTCGAGAGGAGAGAAATGCCGATAACTGGCATTTCCGTGTTTACATGTGATCAGCTGTGATTGGACACAGCTGATCACATGACCGAGCCGACATCTTCGGCTCTTTCCGTGATCGCTGTGTCCGAGGGACACAGCGCACCGGCGATCGCCGCGCTGCGTGCTCCCTGAGCCACACATGCACTGTGAGAATGGAAGGACGTCATATGGGGTCCTATCAGAACGAGAGAACCACCTTGCGCCCGTCATTGTACTATATGGTGGGCGGAAGGTGGTTAATAGTTACCTTAAACCACATTGCTAATTGCATATTGTACTTGTTTGCAGCCTAGATACTAAAATTTGCAATTAAAACTGTAATTTTTTTTTAACTTTCGGAAATGCCAGGAAAAACTTGGCTGTGCCAGTAAAATTTGGGTGTTGTGTCAGTGAATTTTAGTCTGGTGGGTTGGCAACACTGGACACTACTGAGTGTGGGGGAGGAGGGGGAAGAGGACACTGTTGGGGGTAGAATACATTACTGTGGAGGGGGGGGGGATCATGTAGGCAGAGGGCACTACTGTGGCAAATTATGTGTTCTTCATGTCATCTACTTACTGGGGGCTTGATAGGTAATTTAAAAAGGCAACACACCCTGGTGATTTTCCTTTTGATATTTTCCTTTCTGTACAGGCAGATCTCCACCTCTCAAAAGGTTGACTATCCCTGGGTTAGATCATATGTCAGTTTTCTTTTGCCATCTGTGTTCCTTGTTTGCGTAGAGCAGGATATAAAATCAATCCAGAGAAAGGCAAAAACAAATTTTAATAGACTGGGGAAGGGTTAGAATTTTTGACAATGTTTGTATTGCTTGTATGGAAGTCACAGGGACAGAAGGTGATCCACTGTGTGATCGAAGACAGACATAAAAAATAATTTTGACTAAAGTAGGGGCTAAGAAAATAAATTTCTTTCAAAACTATCACACTATGAACTGAGCACGCACCCTTTTCTTTAGCGATTCTGCACAGTTTAGGGCAGCACAATAATTTCAGTGGGTTGTCTTGTGCACAAGAAACACACCAAAAAAGGCGTTTTTTTTAAATCGTGCTGCACCAATACCATTCAGAGTCATTCAGAGAAGGCTATGCAGTATCTGTAAGAATATAAAATGCCTGGAATTCATCTTTAAGGTCTGAACACCAAAACACTAAAAAACTAACTGTCAGGGCTCCCGGGTATGACCAGAGGTGTGTGACTGACGCAGGGAAACGCAGACTTCAGATATGTTATAAACAATATAATTTATTAACACTAACAATACAAACATAAACGCAGTGCAATACTATAACATAACACAGTGCAAACAAACCAAACCAACCACCCACAGATGACAGTACATACAATGCAAGCGTCGTCAGGCAGGCAGGGTCAATATCAATCGGGCAGGTAGGTACAGGGGGGAGCAAGCGGAGAATGGTTGGGGTCACAAGCCAGGTTCAGCAGGTAGCGGGCAGCGTGGTACAGAGGGTCAGGCAGAGGGATGGTCAGGAACGAGCCGGGGTCAGAGCAGGAGAAGTCAGCAGAGGTCTAGATCAGGCAGGGTCAGCAACAAGACAGGAACAGGAACAGGATGCAGGAACAGGATACAGGGCCCAGGAAAAACACAAACCAAGGCAGAGTCTGCAGGTCTGGCCATCCCTTAAATACACCAGTATAAGCAGTTTCAGGTGTTTGGCTGGCTGCAAGGTTGAGTCTCTGATTGCTGGGAGCACCCGCTGGCCAGCCCTGGTACTGCAGCCCATAAGGCAGGTCAGTCCCACCATTGCTGGCCAGTCCATTCCTGACACTAACTCATTTGGTGGTAGTCGAACATCATGAATAATACCAGTATTATTACCATTATTATATATGACAATGGCTGGCTGTCAATAGTTGTTAAGGATGCTGGTGGGTGCAGGCACCACCAAGTCCTTAAAGTAGTTATAAAGGTTTTATTTTTTGAATTTAAATAAATAAACACATCATACTTACCTGCCCAGATCCTCCTCTTCTTGGGTCCCCCACTAGTGCTCCTGGCTCCTTCCTTCTGCTGAGTGCCTCCAGCGCAAGCTGCTTGCTCTATGGGCACTCATGCATGCTCGATACCGAGCCATCTCTGTGTACGGGACACACAGAGCGTGGCTCAGCCCCCCCCCACTCCTTCCCCACTGGTTGTGATTGACATCAGCGGCAGTCAGTGGATCCCGCTGCTGTGTCTCAGCCCATGGGGAGAGAGAGCATACATGGGTCGAGTTGGTGCAATTTAGATACCTATAATCAGGTCCATAACCCCACAAGGGGGTGGGGGGTGAAGAGCAAAGAGGAAGGGGGGAGGGTGGGGAAGGGGAACAGGGGCCACTTGCTGGATCCAGTAGGGAGTCCAAAAGTGTTTAGTACCTCAATGTAGAGTAGAAGCAGGTCTCCACTGTCACATGTAAAAAAGGGATAAAAGAAGGAGCCACTGAGTGCAGACCGTTAAATACTTTAATTACAAACGATAGGGTGAATGAACACTCACATTGTGAAGGATAAAATAAGGCACATCTGAAGTTCAATAAAGATACATCCGGGAGCAGTTGGCATCTGCTGTGGGTCAGGGTGTCCAATTCCTAGGTCCAGAAGCCAGCTAATGGAAGGAGTGGGACCGGAAGGCCACTCTGTGCTGCGGTGGGTGGAACGCAGGTGGAGTGCAGCATATGGCGTAACCGCGTCACCAGAAGTGATGCAACAATGTCTTGGAGCATACGCACCAGCCAGGGGGCACGCTCCTTTATCAAGTTCCTTGGACTAACAGATTTGCTGGTTTTGATACTCGGGGGACAGCTCCCCCCCCGGCGGAATAATAGCAATTATTGTATTAACTGCTTTAGGTCCTCTGACAAACATGTTGAGAGGAGCCTAATGTGATGTTAGCACGCTAAGGGGCCACCACAGTTTACACTGTATCGGGAATGCTGCAGCCCCTCAATTGTCTTTGAAAGCTTTATGCTTTTAACCAATTGTAAGTGCAATAGATTACTTTTAATACATTTTTATACAACGACATACTGCACTAATTTTTTTATATCTTGCATGCCCTCATTGATGGGATGTGAAGTTGGAATGGAACCGTAGGTTGAAATACCATTATGCCATCTACCGTGGATAAGTTTGGGGTTAACCCCTAAAGCACTGCTGGCTTTTCATTAATTTGAAAGCCTAACAGCTCTGGTAAGAGCTCCTACTCACTCTTTGTTGCCACCAGGGATTTTGAGTTGTCACCCCTTCTCTCTGATCTCATTGGATGAGTGGGTCCTTTCTTCTCTCCCTTTGACGACTGGAGAACTTTCTTTTGTGGATTTTCATTTGAGCACAGACTACTGTTGGTGGACTGTTTTTTAATTATCACTTTTGATTATTAATGTCTTATTGCTACACTTTCGATATCATATAATTTTGTAAATAATGCAATGAGACCCTCTCCATCCCAAAATACATACCAGATCCTACTTGATGATGTTTTGGTGGGTATTTTGGGGAATTCCTATTGTATTTAAAAAAAAAAAAAAGAGGTTAGAAGGAAATTGGAATTGACGGTACTTAAAATAGAATTCTAGATGCATCACTAGGGAGGTCACCAGCAGGAGGAAGGAGGTCCTGGTTCCTCTATATAGATCTTTAGTGAGACCTCATTTAGAATACTGTGTCCAGTTCTGGAGACCTCACTTACAAAAAGATATTGATAAGATAGAACGAGTCCAGAGACGGGTAACAAAAATGGTGAAAGGTCTGTGCAATAAAACATATCAAGAGCGACTTCAGGAACTTAACATGTACAGTCTGGAGGAAAGAAGGGAAAGGGGAGTCATGATTGAAACCTTTAAATATATCAGGGGGGTGAATAAGGTTCAGGAGGGCAGTATTTTAAACATGAAATCAAAATCAAGAACACGGGGACATGACCTTAAATTAGCTGGAGGAAAGTTCAAAACTAATATCAGAAAGTACTGTTTTACTGAGAGAGTAGTTGATGCTTGAAATAAACTTTCTAGCAGAGGTAGTGAACCAGTCAAAAGTAAATAGTGTCAAACATGCTTGAGACATGCATAAATCTATACTCAAACATCAATCAAAAATTAACAAAAAAAAAACGCAACCCCCCCCCCCCCCAAAAGAAAGAAAAACACACAGAGAAAATAAAACTGGCAGACTTGATGGACCACTCGGTCTTTTTTCTGCCATCACTTTTCTATGTTTCTGTGTTTCTAAAATGGCTTTTAGTCTTTGTAAATGTCACTTATGCTATACTACTTTGTTTACTTTATGGACAAGTTTCAGAGACCTCCAATCAGGTTTTTTTTAAAGGAACAGTGCATTTTTAAAGAATGATTAAATTCACAACTCCCCAAAAATCCACATTTTTAAATTTGTTTTGCATTGGTACTTTTTTTCCAATCCCTTGGCTATTATCCTTAAAAAAAGGAAAACTCGATTCGACAGATTCAGTTCCCATTGACCTTGGTGAGGTTCGAAATCAGCATCAGTTTTGATATGTTCGGTCAAAATTCTGTGAACCAAACCCAGGTGTATTCAGGTGTATTCAGCTCATCCCTAATGTGGATGAATGAGGCTTGAGTTACTATTTCAGCAGCTTTTTCCTACTGCAATCTTTGAGCTTCAGCAATAAGTACATGATTACAGAATTACCTTCTCTTATCTCTGTTTCCTAGTCTTTTCTCTAATCCAGAGTTATAAACATTTAAATACATCCTTGATGGAGAATGATGATATCACCTTGAATGAGAAACAATCTAAATCTTTTCCTCCCAGTGATGTGATGTTTGTTAAGATTACATCACTAGCAGCACAGTAACTTAA